CAGAGCAATTATGACTTCTGTCCAGAATCTGACATACTCCTTCTAGCAGGTCACCCTAAATATTGCTGAAGCAAACCATTTCTTCAAAGCAAAACATGTTAGACATATTAAAACAATAACTGAATTACTTCTTACTTTTCATGTATTTCAGTCTGTTCAACATAGAGAGCATGTTTTAGGGCATATTTCTCATGGACTTTAGAAAGCTTTATTACTACATTTACATGCTGCAGTTTTATGAAAATAGGTCCCACTCCATACCCTTCTTTCTTCCTACAGGATAGAAACCCATCCCTATAGTTAATTGTTTGTGGTGTTTTGATTGAATGGCTCCTGGCCATCACAAAATAAAAGTTTACACTGTTGGGGATACACTATACACTGAGGACAAATAGAGATTGTTCCTGAAGTTCTTAGGTAGGAAACTGCTATGTCTTACCTCCTTTTTAGAGATTAACATATCTTGCAGGTCAGCAAATAAAACAGGTCCATATTCTGACCCTAATATACAAACAAGCCCAGAAAGTATGCATTTGATAATAAATTTCTGCATTTGAACCATCACCACTGAGTAGGGGAAGTGGGAAATTCTGTCAAAGTAATATACATGTGACAAATAATTTGAAATTGTAAAATTAACATAGTGGAGTTTTGGTTTTTTTCCTCTTTTTTTGTGCTGTTTGGGGGGTTTGTGACAATTGTTTTGGGTTTTTTTGCTGCTCCCAGTGTCATGTAATCAAATAGTCAAGAGTGGTCATAAACAGATTAACACTTCTGAATCATCTGAGAAATATTTTACTTTAAAATCTTTTTATGTAATTTTGGCTCTTGGTTTGGTTGGCACAGTGTTATATTTTGCTAAGAATCTCTGATAGTGTACAGGTTACAGGAGTTACACTAGTGATATAAAGCTTCCTCTGGATATACATTGCAGCATAGAGAATACTTAAGGGCACCATTCCCCCGGAAGGCTGCATTTGTATACATCTTGCAGTCAAGCAGTTTGTGGGTAGAACAAACTTAATAGCAATAAACACATCTGAGCATCCCTAAACCTTTCAACAACTGACAGAGCAGCTCAATGACAGACAAGTGATTCATGAAGTACTTTAAATAAGCCCTGGCCCAGGTGTATTCTCTTCAGATAGCTTTATCGCACTGTGCCATCACAGACCTGCCAGCTGTCTGAAGGTTTCTCCTCAAGAGAATGTTTTGAATGCTCTAGAGCTGTTGATAACTCTTTTTCTCTCCCCACATTATGTTCTCAGCTAGCTAGACTGGCATATATTGACTCCGGGACTAATATTAATAGTATTTGTTTTCTCAATTATATGAAACCAGTTAATGGCATATGTGTAGGTCACAGGTTCTTTGATATCTGCCTATAGAAAACAAATCTCACTGTTGATTGTTGACAATATTTTTGAACATTTGCATTTCAGTTAAAGTAATTTGAGCAATACAAAGGAAATAAAGTGAGGTGGTTTACTAACTGACATATGGCTCTTTTTCTCCTATTTTGGAAGTAGGGTTTTGGTAGTGTTTGGGGGAGTTTCTGTGGATATATTGTTATTAAAATTATGTTCTTTCCATTGGCATCTCTGAATTCAAATATAACTCTTGTCATGGTTCTAGCATGTGAACAAATTAGCTGATAAATTATAGTAAAAGTATGTTATAGTACAGTACGTTTCTTGGGTACCTATGGATGGTATTTAATGGTAAGTTATACTTTGTATATTCAATCAGAAGAAACAATCGTATGTATTGAATTTCCTATGTGCATGAGAAATTGATTGCACCTGAAAGTATTTGCTAGACATGTAGCATAAAAGTACCGACTTTGATCTTCTTCTTCTTTTGCTGTTGCCTGGACACAAGCTTTCTTGAAAGACCATCAGCCTTCTAAAGCTGTTTCTTTCATGAGTAAATAACTAATTTTGTCAGAGATCAGACTATCAATTTGAGTTCAGACAAGTGCCTCAATTTACAGATTATCTCTTAATTTTCCCTGTTTTGACCTTATATCCTCTGTGAAGGTCTGCTCCAAGCAGCGGTATACTCTGGAGAGCAACACATTTTTAAAATTATGTGTTGGTATTAATAATTTAAGGGGGTATGGGTTGGCTGCAGGTTGTGCAAACCTCCTGTCTGAACTGTAGAAACACACTAGCTATTTGTCTGTCTGAAGAAGAATATGAGAAAAGCTAAATGTTATCTGCATTTAAGTAATTAATTCTGTTTTTCTGCTGGAAGAATAGTTGGTTCTTCCCAAGTCTTACAGGAACTCAAGTCAGACTTTAAACTATTTCTTGTGGAAAGTGAATCAAAATATGGTGTTAGTCTCCACTTTACTTATTGCTCCATTTCCTGGCATGGAAATGTCTGCTGGGGCATGCAGTAAATGTCGCTATGGTATTAGTTCAGGACATGGTTGAGTAACTTTGCATAATGAGACCTACTTCTGATTGTCTAATTAGTTATGCATAGCTGTAGCAATGGAAAAATATGCCTCAAATAGAAATCTATTGTCATACGTTACTTGATTACATGAGTATGGCTTCCACTTGTATTATGGTTCCTCTCTTTGTAATGACAAATGCCATGGGCTTCTACTGAATATTATAGCAACTTTTTCATGCAATTGCATCAGCTGTACATTTTAATTATTTTTTCAGTATGTCAGTCATGACATTTGAACAAGGAATCCTACCATGCATGAAATTTCCCAGTACAAAAAAGAATCATGTATATTCTCTTTCTTCCTTTCAATGTTTTTACTGAAAAAGTCACTATAATTTCAGAAGAAAATTTGAGACTGCTAGTTATCCTTTTCTCATCAAGCAGCAATCTTCATATTCAGTTTGCCTTGACACCATCTTATGAATGTCTGACTTCATTTTATCATCATAGAATATCAAAGAATTGTAAAGATTGGAAAAGGCCTCTGAGATCATCAAGTCCAAGTGTTAACCTAGCACCACAGTGTTCACTGATAAACCATGTCGCCAAATGGCCCAAGTGCCATTTGAACACTTCCGTGGATGGTGATTCCATCAATTTCCTGTGCTGCCTGTTCCAGTGCCTGACCACCCTTTGTGAAGAAATTTTTCCTAATGTCTAATCTAAACTTCATTCTGAAGGTCAAAAATTCACACAAAAAGTATCAACTCTCACACAGCTGAGGCGTGGGATGTGATCGCTAATGTAGAGGAAGTAGGAACTTTAGTTGACTCATACTCCAGCCTTACAAAGGCCGTATCCTAGAGGCAAGATTGTTGCATTTGTGGCTTGATGTTTATTAGCTACTGTGAGATAGGGTAATCAAGAAAAGTATACAGCCAAAGGAACCGTCCGTGTTGTGCTCTTGTCAAGCTTGCAAACCAGAGCCCTGCCATGTTCTCAGGTTGCAGGAGAATTCTTGCCTTTGACCAAGATTTCTTGCCTAGAGAGATCAAGAATGCCTTTCTACCAAGAGTGAGAATCTCTGGGCATGCTTATGTAACTGTGCCAAGACTGAAAATATGTAACTAACCTACTAGAAAACTTCTATGAAGAGTTGTAAAATTCTATACTCTGGAAAGCCCACCATTTCCTTCTGGTCTGCTAGGACTTTGAAGTCAAGTCACCAAGGAGTATACGTGTTAAAAGATCATGTTTACTGCTCTTTTTGAATATTAAAAGACTTTTTTTAAAATTTAATTCAGTCCCCCAGATTTTCCAGAGGTATAAGATCAATTTATCACTTTCATATCCAGATGGTAAGGAAATGAACAGTTTCACTATTGGGCTTGCTATTCAAAATATTCCAAGAGGAATATAAATGAATGCATCATTTACGGTGGCCAGATGGTAATTCAGAAGACAATTTCATGATCTAGTCATTATACATCTTCTCTATATTGCATAAACCTATTCTGGCTTATTTTTTATCACCACCTGAAGAAAGGGTAATAGATTAAACATGTGAATGTGAGGATTTACTTGCCATTTTAGATAACTTGAACTAGCGTTCAAGTATTCTATTTCTATAAGAAGCAACACTGATGTATCAGTAGATATTTGTCTGTGAGACTGGGAAACTTCATCTGTTAAGCAGCAAAACATTTGCATCAGAACAGATTTCAGCAATATAAATAAATGGAAAATGTACCCTTTTACTTTATTTTTCTTAGGCATGCTTGCTTGTAGAATTTATAATAGCCTCAAGTATTGTATTTACCTAACATTACCGTGGTTCCCAATTTTATCAAATTTGTAGTGTTAACAATGTTTATAGATATTTTATAGAAAATATAAAAAAGATCAGCACATCTACCATGTTTTCTATTCATGTGGGATGTCCTCAGGTCTTGATGCCATGAGTGAATATTTATGCTGCCTATTGTTTCCATGAAAAAGTTTTATGTATAATTGTTTTAATAAGTTCTAGGAATACAAAGCAGTTCATGAGTAGTAAAGTACTGAAAGAAATATCAGCATTTGCCTCGCCTTGTTTTGTATTCATCAGGAAAATTATATACAATTTCCAAAGTCAGCAGCTATTCTCAAAAACTTTTCTCATGCTACCTCAGAAGCAGCAGATTCTGCTATTGAAATGGCACAGGAGCTGCAGTCACAGCTGAAGGGAAGCATTCTCTGTGGATTGGTTGCATGATCAACTTGAAACGCATATCTGACATGCCTGAAGTGTTTGGTTATGCAATCAACCCAACATTTTATAATATCTGGGCAAAGGAGAATGGGCATTGATAAATAATTGATTTTGTGATGATTTGTAAATTGGGTTATAGCCTGTTACAGTCTGAACAGTCAATAGAAATCGGTGCGGCTCAGAGTTTAATACCAATCACTCACATACCTTCTGTACCTCAAATGAGAAAGAGCAAACCACATTTTTATATTTTCACAGTAAACCTCTGAAGATAAGTCAATGTCAGAAAACCAATCACTTGATATTTATATAAATAAGTATATACAATAATCTTTTATTTTTATAGTGAACTTATCCTGTCCAGTATTGACGTTGATGCGACTGGAGTCTGGGAGTGTCTAGTCAACAATTCCTATGGAAATAGCACTAAACAAGTAGAAATTGTGGTACTTGAAACAGCTGCACCCTACTGCCCTGCAGAAAGAGTTATTAACAACAAGGGAGATTTCAGGTATGATTTTCTAGATTTGGAGCGTGTTTCATATATTATTATATGTACAGACCATATTCATGCTTACATCATACTTCAGTGTCAGTTATGAAGACGTCACTTTTTTAGCTGTCATTTTCATGTAATACAGTAAGAAGGAGGCACACTATGATTTTTTTCAGCTACTGCTTCAAGAGCAGCAGTGGCTTGTGAAAGTCAGAGAATCTTCTAATTCCTTAGAATGCAACTATGGATTTTTTTTTTTTTTTAAATGAGGTAAATGAGAGAGGGTTCAAAATTGGTCTTGGTCTTCATAGGATATGATAATACTGCATTAAAGAATTACAAGCTTAAATCTTAAGTACTTTTCTAATCTGTGCCAGTTCTGATGGTTTTGTTCAGCTGAGATGAGAGGTAACAAATAACACGAAACTCTTAGTAAAATATTTCACTGAAGAGGATCAAACTGCCAAGTAAAACTACTTAGTTAAACTAATAGATCAATTGAGGTGAGTTTAAGGACACACACAGTTACACCAATATATGGCATGCTTACAAAATCCATCCATCCTGCTTAGAGTCTGCAAACTTTTGTAGGTTTTGCTTCATCTTTACTTTTATTTACAAATGTTGGTGGGGCTGTTTAAAATTTTAATCCTCATAATCGGAAGAAAAAGGTAAGGTTTCTGTGGAATGTGGTATTGTTTTCAGTTAGCTCTGAAATACTTCAATGATATGCATAAAGCTCTTAAACAAAATCTAATTGCCTGCTTGACAATAAGACTGATGTGTGATGGCATTCCCATTGAGAAATCAGCAGTAATTTGTTATCAAGTGAATTATAATAAGAATTCAGCTTGAATAGTTAATGAAAGGAAAAGCAAACAAGAAAGAAAGCTTCTCAAACACCAGAACTTTCTGCAAATACTTCCGACCTGAAAGCCGTTCTTCATTTTTAGGTTACCTTTAAAACTTTTGCAAAGGCTTTTTTCCTATTATTTCTTGTATTTGAATAAAAATAAAGGGTTGAATTAGAAAGAAGTGAAAAAACCTACTCAAATAATCTGTTTTCTCTTTACTGTGTAGCTTTTATTATGTGCTAACCTCAGTTCCAGTGAGTTTGTCTCTTTTGCTGAACTACGAATACTGATTTACTCCATATATATGGATTTAAATCCATCAGAGATCTTTGACAATCTCAGGTATAGGTTTTTTTGTCAACACAAGAGCTGTCATTCTGTTTTCTCCTAGTGGATGTGATTAAATATATTTTAATTAGATCTTTAAAAATATATATACTTCTTATTAGATAACACATACTGAATCTTTTAGATGACAACTTTATGAAGTTCATGTTCTTACCATAAGATGACATCTTTTTCTCCATAAATAAATATATATAAATTCCACATACTGCACAAACTGACACCAGGGGCATTTTTGTCATTTTATATAAACCAAAAGAACAGGAGCTGACATTTCTCTCCCTATTGATCATCTTTCTAGAAATCCATATGAATTTATTTTTAAAATGTACATCAAAAGGATGCTGAGTTCATAGGTTCTTTTGGCATTTGAGGGAATGAATTTAAAATGGTAGAGAATTTATCAGGCTCAAACTCAGCATTAGCACTTCAAATTGTTCCCACGGTATATCCTCAGAAATGGAGCTATCACACCAGCACCTTTTCTTACTTTAGTCTTTGAAGTTTTGGTAACATAGCAAGTATGTAAGTAGAAAGAGTTGAACCACAAAAGCAGGGCTAGAAAGAACAGTTCTTTTATTGGGCAAAAAATGGAAAAAAGCATCAACTGTTAGGGAAGCATGGCTGTTTGAGTTTTCCAGCCTAGGTGGTATTTCTAATTGTACAGCTGCAGGAAGAATTAGGCACTGTGAGTCAGAACGAACTGGCCTTTTGTACTAAGAGGTGTTCTCTGTGATGGTTGTATTTTACTCATTCTTTTGTTTTCTAGTGTGCAATAAGCTTATTCTGAAATGCAAATGGTAATGTTGTTATGTCCTATCATTCCTATTCATAAAGGTCAGATTCTGCTACCTTTGCTACTCGTTTCAGAATTAGCTCTTTAGTTTTGCTTTTGAGGTCAGTTGCCACTCAGTGTGGCCCAATTGCATTAATGCAAATGTTATACTAAAAATAATAGTGCAGCCTAGAGGCAAAAGGTCTCTACACTTCTATATACTACTGTACATATCTTGAATTTTTGGAGAAGCTCCTTTCATGGTTCATTTTGCATCAATTGTTTTTACATCAGAAATTCAATTATTCCAGTGTCAGTTAGCTATGACAAGTAAAAGTATTTTTCTTCCATTTTCTTTGACACGAGCAAAACTTGTATAGACCAAAGCCTGTCACTATATTATGTAACAATGTCTAAACAGCCCTGCATCGTGTAACTAAGAGGAGCTAATACGTATGTTTGAGCAAAGGTTGATTGTCAAGCTGTGGCTTTGTTGACAGAATATTTTTGTGATTGATTGGGTTCAGTCATTACATCAGTGCAATTAAAGAACCATATCTTTTCCAGACCTGCTGACTCACTGATGATACACTTACGGTTTTCTTGGATTTCTCCCAATTGCCTGTGCCTGCTATGTCCATAGTAGGCTGGAAATGACAATAGATTTGGTACCTATAGAAATAAATCCCTGTTGTGCCATTCTAGAGAATGCAGCAGTTATACAGAAAGAGTATGTTGTATAATAGACCCATGAGCTAAATAGAATTCTGACTGTTCTTGATTTAGTTTGTTTTCAAAGACTGTTTTGTGGTCACATTGCGTAAATCACGTATACCTAAATAGCTAATTTTTGAGGGCTAGCTCCTTCCTCCTCCATGACATACGATCTCCACTGAAATCTTCGTTGTTTTCTGATACATTCAGGGATTTTTGTTTTTCAAGGCTTTGTAGCAGAGAGGGCTTTGTAGTGGTGGGTCAAAATGCAAACCAAAGATTGTCAGGTACATTTTGAACACTCACCTTTTACAGCATTTAGTCCTAGGGTTTGAGGTGGAGTTACTTACATGGACTTACTGCTCTGCTTTTTGGAGTCTGCAAAGGTGAATGTAGTGTAAACACCATCCATATCTTTTTCCTTAACACCAAACACCTTCCTAGAATTAACACAGAACTAAAGTGACTAGCCAGACATGAACCTGTATAATTTTGAAATTTCCAAGGAAACAAGGTAATTAATTGTAAACCATAATGAGGTAAAAAAATAAAATAGCCTTTTTTGCTCATATATTCTGTATATTGTTGCTATATTGTAAATTACCTTTCAATAAATTTCACGTTGTAATTTTTTATTATCATGCTGTTAATAGATGGCCCAAAACTTTGGCTGGGATAACTGCTTACCATCCTTGTCTCCAGTATTCATTTAACTCTGTTGCATTCCACAATGGTGCAGAAGAGTCTAAGGCATGGCGGAAATGTAATCGAACTGGACGCTGGGATGAAGAAAACTATTCTGAATGTCCTTACTCACAAGAAATAACTCAAGTTCTTCATGCTTTTAGTCAGGTAATGTTTTGAAATCCCGGGGGTTGCCTGTTCAAGTGCCTGACTGTCCTCACAACAGGAAAGATTTTCTTCAAAACCAGTCTGAACTTGTTTCAACTCATTATCATTGTCCCTTCTCCCACCATGCACCGCTCTGTGTAGGAGCCCTTGCTGATACTGTTGTTTTCATGATGATCTAAAGACAGAGGCAAGGCAAGGTTAGTAGCATGATATATTTTATGAGGCCAGATAGTTACAGTCTAGAAGAAGTACATAAAAATTTTCGAAATTTGTTGGCCTGTTGTGGTGGTGTCTTCAGATATAACAGCAATGAAATCTAAGACCTAAGGCTAAAGATACATTCCTATGAAAATTGTCCATGATATACTGTGCACATAAATCCTTGTGAAATTATAGCGAGCATTATACAAATGCATGTGATCTCCAGTTTTTAAAGAGAAGGAACCTAGCTGGTTTATGACGCCTAACGATTCTGATGTATTTTCAGATGCACATCAATATGACAACCGTGCTTGAATTTTCCCGCCAGCTGACAGCCTACACAAGAGGTGCTTCCCTCTTTGCGGATAAAATGGATGTAATATATTTGGCTTATATAATGGAAAAGTTAATTGTCTTCGTGGATGAATTTGAAGATGTAAGATATCTTCTCTATGCTGAAAAAAGTATCACTTACAAGTAAAGTCTTCACATATGGCCCTGTTCGTAATGTATGCAGGCACACACTAAAGGGTAGCTTCTAAAACTGATTGCTGATTGCAAATGTTCTGCATATACTGTAATATGTCTCTTTATGCCAAAAAGGCCAACTAAGCCTTTTCCTCTGACTGACAAGGGCATTGCTGCTTAGGCATAAAAACTGTTTTTCAGTATCCCACTTCTTTAATTTTCTTTTTAATTTTAATTTCTACCATATCTAGTGCATTAGAATGAACTCAAGGTGCCGCTCTGTCTGGTCACTGGAGCTACATATGCGTCTTTTGTTTTCTCAATTTCATCAAGAGGTTTTCATTGGGTTTTGAAAGGTGGTATCACCTCATGTGAAGAGAAGATAATGTGTCTTTATCTGCAACTTCATACAGGAAATTTTAGCATTGCGTACGCCATTTTTACAGGGAAATTTCATCAGAAAGTTATGCAAACCCTGTGGGAAAAATTGGTTTTTACAGAGAACAGAAGTGTTCGTCATAGTTTTTACTGTTAATTTTCAGAGTAAGTGCTTGCATAAAGATTTCATAACCTCTAATTTTTGTACATATGATAGCCATAGTTAAAGCATTTGTTTTCTTTTGGTTTGGCAATGTTCATTCCAGCTCTTGGAATTGTAACAGTTAACATTTTAGTGCCAATTTGAGAAAGCCTTCAACTTCAATTTCACCATTATACACTAGATCTAAAGAGTATTATTAAGTGCTCTCCACGAATCATGTTTCAAAGCTACAACTTTATTTCCGCTCAAAATTTAACATCCAAAAGAAACAGTTGGATTTGCCCTAAAGCCTCTTTATTTCCCTAGCAGCTGAGGCATTTATCCATTAAAACTGAACACCATCTCTAATATTTTAGTTAATTTCTTCCCCCTTTCAAATAGGTTTCAGTTTCTGTTTTTTGGTATTGAAACATCTCCATCACTTATCTCTACATCTCTTATTTAGTAGTCCCTTATTGTTTTCATAATTTAGGATATTTCTCCTAATTTGTCTCTCTCTCCTCTTTCTATTTTGAACTTTACATCTTTTTATCTCTCTGAGGTTCACTAAATAGGGTCCTCATTCATTGAGCTCTTTACTAACACCCATTTCTTAGCTCTCACTCACAAGGTACAAAAATATACGTGAAATTTAACTTCACTCATGAGGCTGCACTCATGTACATATAAATAGGATTGAACTTTATTTAAATAAGGCAGCATATGAACAAAGGTATATTAGTTTAGAATGGACTAGCAGCTGAAACTACAGTTGTATAAAACCATTAGAAATTAATTAAAATACAATTGATCAAAATAATTTCAAAAACATTTTAGCTGAGCTAGTACAGTTTTTGTACATCCTTTCTCTGGAGTGCCTTTCCCATTCAGCACAGGAATGTTCGTTTTTTACAAGCTAGTGGTACTTTGTCCCATTGGGTGGTTCATCTCTCAAAAGAGCTTCACCTGCTGCAGTGAGGGCATATTTGCAACACATTACAGCTTTTGCCAGGAAAGAGATATACATGTCAGCCCAAATTTGTGTATTTTTAAATGTGCTTTACTCTTCATTAATGCATATAATTATAATATAAATTACTTCCTTGTCTTATTTATCTCCTTTTGTATATTTATAGACTATTGTTATGCCCTCAGTAAGTTACTGCTTAGCTGATTGGTGTGTACTTAAATAGTTTCCCATAAATCACTCCAGTCTCTTAATGTGATTCATTATTATTCATTGTGTCAATAACTCTGTCACATTGTCAAAAGCTATCTAGAATTATATAGTAATTACATTCTTGAGAATAGATTAAATATTTCTGGAACAGGCACATAAAATTTCACATATAGTCTCATTATTTGTGTCTTTTGCAATGAAAGTAAAATTTATGTATTTTTTTATTGAAAATGCAGACATAACTTCATAACCTCATCCATTTCTTAAACGTTTTACACAATTTCTGGGTTTTTTTCCTTTCCACTGAATCATCTGCGGAGCTGCCTTATTTTTCTGTTTCTGTTAGTTTGACTTTTTAGCTTCTTGAACTTTTCTTTCACAATATTTCTCTCAGTTGATTTTTCTCTTCTATATGCCTTTTATTCAGATTTATTTGTGACAACCATTTATATCTCTGTATTGAGCAATGTGGTCATGTTAATTTTGAAATTTCACTCAAGTTTTTTAATTTTAAAAAGTAAATGTTTTTATTTCAGTTTGAAATGATTGCAAAAAAGTGTTACAGTGATGTTTGTTCTTTATAAAAGTAATATACTAATAAAAATTTCAAACACATAGTTACACTTAACAAAATCTGTAAAGTGTCATCTAGCAAAACAAAAACCTGTCATTTTGGGTTAGTCACAACATGAATTAAAATTTCCAAACCTATAGCCAATGAGATGATCTAAGTTTGTATCAGCATCTGAGCTATATCTCAAATTTACCCCACTATGTCTGTAACAAAGTTATCTTTCAAATCTATTTTTCCACTTTCCCCCCACCCAGAGGTCCTTTGATTAAACATGAAGCAGTTCTTTAGAAGGGCAGGGTCAATTTTGATTGGTTTAAGTAGGGTGATAATTTTGGCATTCCATTTATTGCCCAATGAGACACTAAATTTGTCTGGTGTATCTAGAAGATGTGCTTTAAAGCTGTGAGTAAAAAAGTTTTTCCTTGATGCGAGTTGCACTTTTCTTGGTACATTTGATTTTGCACTTTTTCAGTACATTTTATTTTCTTAATAAAATCAAAACTGTCTTTTTAAAGATGGTCACGAAGAGAAATAAGGTGTCTGCTTTCACTTGTACTCTTATCTACTCTTTTCCTACTTTGTGAGTTTTCCAGCTAATACCAGTTTTGGGTTTGGGGATTTTTTTCCTCTTCCAGATTGGAGATGCTCTTATTGAAATAGCCAGCAATATAATGTTGGTTGATGACCATGTGTTGTGGATGGCCCAAAAGGAAGACAAAGCCTGCACCAGGATTGTACAATGTGTGGAACACATTGCAAGTCAAATACTGACCAATAATATTCAAGTTATATCAAAGGTATTTCATAAAATGACAAAACATTTTGTAAGATATTTTGTCTCTTGAATTCTGTTTGGAAGACCAAAATATTTTTTAAAGTATCACTGATAGTATTAAAAAGTGGTTTTCTTGACTCTGGTTAATTGTATGTATTTTTACAATAAGGTGTTCACAACATTATCTTTCTAGTGTTCTTGCTATTCTCTCAGTTTATATTTTTATTGCTATTTCTATGTTCTATTCTGTTTCTATTTTTATTCTATTTTTATCATTCTATTTGCATAATATGGGTTTATTTTGAAAGGTCCAAGTTGAATGAGTGAAATATTTGATAACACAAAAGACAACACGATCCCTCATGTCTTGGAGATTTTAATATGTCTTTCCAAGAGGATTCTAGACAATTCTTGCTTGAATATTTAGGAAATTATAAAAAAGGTCTCTTGTGTCATAAATAGCACTAATTTTGGGTTAGTTTTAGTTTTTTAGAACCAAATTGTAATGTATGAAATACTTTCTCCGTGGCCTCCACCTATGTGAATTTGTCACATGGATATGGAGGTGTTGCCATTTGGACACTTGGACACTTTTTGCCAGTTTCAACATCTAAATAGAGGAAATACATGTAAATCAGAAGCTTGAAACTTATCCTTTTAGAATTTTAGATCAATACTTTAAAGCCTTATTGCTCCTTGGGTTAGTTTGCTTGACATTAAACAACCTTTGTTCTTTTCTCGGTTGTCCACTGCATTTATATGAAAATGCTATTTAAAAGTGAGTTCAGTGTCAGTTTCAATCACAGCTATAATATAACAAAGTAAACCCCCCCAGAAAACCCCAAACAACAACAACAACAAAAAAGAATTATAAGCTGACCTGAATTATAGACTGAATCAAATGGCATAATGGCCTTAGTTCCTTCAGTGTATGTTTGTAGAAAAGCAGTCTTTCAAACATAGCCAAAAATATATTGGGCTGTTTTCTAAAGGAAAATTCACATTTACATAAAGGAATCAATTTTGCTAAAAATATTTATATTAAATACATAGCAACATTAATGTGCCTTTTAGAAGTATTTTGCAATATGACAGCTAGAAGAGCTTTGTTGGTCAGGTTTTTTCCTTGTCACTGCTCCAGGAAGCTGTTTATGTCACTGTAAACAGTAGTTCTGTGTACTCAAATGTAGATCTGTGTCATTAACTGCTTATCTCTTCTTACAGTTGTCTGTAGGAGAATGTTTACTGTTGAATGTAATTTGTAAATAAACAAAGCTGTGGAGTATTTCTGCTGTCATCTCATGCAATACCAAGCATATCTGGTCCTTCAGGAGGCCAGCCCAGCAAACTATCTCACAGAAACTGCATCTGCTTTCTTATTTAAAAAAAACAACAAATAAAACCCCCAAAGCTTAGGTAGCAAATAGCTTATGGTACAATTCTCGAGAAAAAGAGAAATTCTTTAAACTGTGTCAGCCATATAATATCAAATCATTGAATTGTTTAGATTGGAAAAGACTGTTTAAATCATCGAGTCCAACCATTAACCCAGCACCTCCAGGTCCACCACTAAACCTGTCCTTTAGTACCACATCTCATATGCATGACTGTGTTTCCTGCAAGTTGAAAAGCTGCTTAGGAGGCATGATTGTTACTCCTACATAGATTTTTGGGAAGATAAAAATGTTCTTCCAGTTCCACAAGGTTGTGGAATTTCAAGGTCAGAAATATACCAGAATGGATAACTTTATATCTTCTTAAGTCTCTCTTGCTGTCTAATGGCATGAAAAACATGCTTCAGGAAGAGTGCCCACTAGCAACTTTGAAATACTAGAAAATTGGTAAAACAAAGAAGACATTATTCCTCTGCCCAAGCAGCCTCAGCCTAGGGGGGAATGTCATCATCAGTGGTGCTGAGCCAGGTGGGGGGCACCAGGCTGCAGGTCAGGATGAGGGACAGGCCTGGTGATGGTACCAGTGGTTACCAGGCCAGGCCACGGTGAGGATGCTGGTCCCAGGTCAGTGGGGGCCAACAGGGCTGGAGTCAGCCACCATGGTGAGGCCATGGAGGAGCCTTAGCTTTACACTGGACCAGAAGGAAGGGGGTGGAAGACCCCTCCAGAGCCCCTGGGAGCAGCCAGAGAGGCCAGGCATGCCCTGGGCAGCTGAGTGCTCTCGTGGTGTATCTATATGCCTCAGCACAGCCAAATGAATTTCCCTTCAGGAACATACTCACACCTGCTTTGATTTTATTTATGTGTATACTTGTCAGATGTGCGGTTTGAAAAGGAAGATTTTCTGCTGCTGCTGAAACTTACCTCTGTGGTTCTGTCTCAGGCATGTGCAATAGTTTTAAAATCCATGCCTGAAGACCTTTCATTCAATTCTCCAGCTGATGAGACTGTCAGAGCATTTTAGACAACATGCCTTTTTGTTTGTACTCTCTTTGCAGCCCTCAGTGCTGCTCTCAGTGTTACCCAGGTAATGGTCCCCTTTGGTCTTCATGCTCAGCGATGCCTTTATCAGAGGTTTAAGAAATGGACACGAAATTATAATTTTCTGTATCTGTACTGCTTAGACACATGATTAACTGTGGTTTGTTTCCATGGATAATTTCCCTCTGGGTTCGCCTGTACCCTTTTTGAAGCTTATTTTACAATCCTACATCATGAACACCAGTTTAACTTTCATTTTGCCCATCTGTTTCTATGCACTGAGAATGGCATGTCCACTCTGTTTGGACATTATCAGGCCTTTACAAGTGTATTTTGGGAGTGACAAACCCCAAGTGATTAAAGAATTTAATATACAGAATTCAAAAATTAGGGCTCACTGTTGTGAAATCATGTGTATCCTCATACAACACTATCTGGCAATCATCTTGTTCACCATCACCTCACCAACGTGAAATAGGGAATCAGTGTTATGCCTATTCTACAGCAGAAAACATGAAGCTATGAAGAATTAAATGGCTTTTCCCAAGATTATAAAAACCTGTTAACTACAGGAGTTTTAACTGAGTCATATAGTTTGATTCCTGTGATGTGGATAATCGTAGTCTGCAAGCAGTAAATTTTTTAACTGCTTGAAAGGTTATCTGCAGATGGTAAAAAAAATTACACAGGTAAACATTGTTTCAGGTTATAGGACGTTTCAACAAACAGCCACTGGACTTCTAAAACAAAAATTACTTGATTCTTGATGACCTTTGACATTTTTACTGAAGTGTAGAAAAAATATCACTTTCTGGCAAGGACAGAAAAACTGGGGATTTCATATAGAAAAGGGAGTTTTTTCAAATTTATAAACAACTGAAAGGAATCTTCAGGCTGCTTCTACTTTATAAGTATATATATATATATATAGTATATAAGTATATTACTTCTATATAAAGAGTGTAAAAATATGCTGGAGACTTCTGCCTTTTGTGTAATTATGACAAAAAGTAAAATAAATTGCTTAACAAGGCTGCAGTACTTTCATTTTGGAATTCTACAGTATCCTCAGTGACTGAAGAAGGTGCATTTGAAAGCTATTTCATAAGTTCAAAAGAGGACTGGCAAGTCATGCATTGTGTTTCCTTGCTAAGATTTAATTTGTTCTCGTACCATGTGTTTTACAGTTAGGCTACCCTGCCCTTATTTTTTCATGTGAAACATGTTCTTTAGATACATGTATTAGTATGAATTAATGTGATTTTCCTCGGTGAAGTCATTACTTGTCAGCAGAATGCTCCAAACTCTGAAAAATTTGCACCAATTTATACAAAGTAGATTTACAGTACTTCTGTTTTTCTAGCTTGAGTAACAGAAGCAAGTACAGTAATATGAAACAGCTACATTTTTAAACTTAGTCTTTTCATAAACCTGCTAGTTTGTGGCTTAACTCAGGTATCTTTACATTGCAATCAATAAGTAAAATAGGTACACTCACAGATTACTAAACAGTCTCTGCCTGGAAGCAGAAACCATATAGTTGTATCGGTGTGGAACCAGCATAAGCTAGTTGACCTGATTATAACATGAGCTGTTTATGTCATGCACAGGCCTGTGATGAAACAAAAAATGTTAGTTTAAGGCTACAAAGGCATATCTGCACTCTGCTGCAATCTCCATCTGGACACTTCACCTCCCTGAAGGGTAGGCCACAAACGTAACATGGTGTTGCGTTGAACCATATAGTCGTGTTCAGTATTCTAATGGAACAAGATCTGTAAAATAATATTCAACCACTAAATAGCTAAGAGGGGTTCTGTTTAATTTCTGAGGTACAATGCACATCCTTGTTCATTTTTTAAATAATTCTTGTACCTGCTGGTGATAGTTCACTTTATGATTGCATTGCTTTAATTCAGGATTGATTCCATTAAAGCTGCTAATGGCACAATTGCAAAACTGATATAATAGTAACTAATATAACTGATACAAAGTGTTAGATTCCTAAGGAAGGAAGGAAGACTCAAGGAAATCCTCTATGCCATGGATTTTATATTATTATCATAATTTTAAATATGTTCTGTTTTCTTTCTCACCCTATGAATATATATAGAAGTGTATACATGCACAATCCTTTATAAAATACATTCAGTAAGTACACAACACACATATAATAATGCAGTTATGCTTAATGAGTTTGCGACCTAACTGTTGTCAATGTTTTCACAGGTGTCTCGTAATATTGCTCTGGAAGCCTTTATGATCAAGCCTTCTAGTTTCACAGGAATGACTTGCACTGCCTTCCAAAAAATATCAGCAAATTCTGACAAGTCAGTGACACATGATTTGGGAAGCTGGGAAGCAAATCACCATCCTGATACACATTTGAATTTCAAGTGCAACACTGGCAATGTGAATAGTTCTTTGGTGAATTCTTCTACCAGGGTAAGTCAGCACAGTTGTTTTTATTGTTTATTTTAATGTGTTTTCAGTAGTACCCTTAGGCAGAATACTGGTGTGGAAAAAGCATATTTTATGTGTTGTTAGCATAGTAGACTAGTTAGTAGTTTCAACATGTAAGTGGGCTTAGACTGGTGTATTGGATGTAGCATATTTTGTTATGCCAGTTAGTATTCCATTAATATAATCAGGTGGAATGCAGGGTGCGACTAGAAATGAGTAATTGTCTTGTTCTTTCTATGTCTGGGTCTGGTTCTGCAAATTTTTCTATGTGTAAGCAATCTCTTTAAATTAGTTAGGAAATATTTGTTTTAGTGAGGCACTCTCAGGGGATTTTACATCGCAAAAATGTGTTTTTTAGGGAAATTACCTTTACTTTCACTAAATAATATTACATTATGTTCTGGAATCTATACTGAGGAAGAGTGTTAAGTTGGAGGTTTTGAGTTGTAGCTGAATAAAATAATAAATAAGCCTTTTATTAGAATGCACTGCTGTTATCAAATAATGAAGTGGAACAATTAAATTCTGATCTAGCAGGAAATGGAATTTTGTATTTGGCTGAGCGTGTTATTAAATTTAAGTATTACAGTGTTGAATTTTTGTTATCCTTCAGCTGAATCTGAGTTTAATAGGCTTATTTCTTGAAATATTTACTATGACATAATGATGCTTTTCTGGAAAATATTAGTTTATTGAATTTGAAAATATTTTCATTGAAGTTATTTTCCCTTTGATGTATTTTAATTTGTATGGACTATGCAGTCAGTGATATGGTTGTTTGCACTCTCAGGATCTTCTGCTAAAAGGCTTCCTGCTTAAAAATGGAAGAATAGGTTGAATTTGTTTCCTTCAATGGAGTTCATTTTTTTCTGCAGACACTGTTAACATGTCTATCTATATGAAAAAGAAAGTTGTCTCTGAAAAGAAATGAGTTTGCCATCCATAAGATGAAAACCAAATGTCAGGAATCTAAAAGATATAAGATTTCTTCAAGAAGCAACTCTGGGACAGTCTGCAATGTATGGGATAGTGTTGATACCAAAATACACATGGATTGCATGAATTGGGAACCTTTCTTTATCAGCTCTACCAATATGTTTTGTACTCCTTCAGAAACTGAATACTAACAGTTTTAGTAAATTAATCTCTTCATAGTTGGATGGTCAAGCACTGCTGTATCTCTCCTAAAGAATCTTACCACAAGTGCAAATTTGTCGAGTTTGCGTATGTCAAATATGCAGAGTAAGTTAGGATATTTATTTGAAACAGCTTTCTAAATTGTTGGCAGAATGCCACAATGTAATGATCTCAGTAAAATATTTCCTTGTGTACTTTGAACCTACCTGACTTTATACAGCGTATACGCTGCTGACTACAGAAAGAAAGAAGCTAGAAGAAAGCTTATTACCATGCAAAGCAATTTTGAAGTATGTGATATATATTCTGACAAAAGTTACTTTATTAGGTGGTTATAGTTATCACCTGTATATGAGTTTGTAAATATTGTAACAGCACAACACAAAAGCTGAAGAGGGACTCTTTTGTCAGGAACTGCAGTGACAGGACAAGGGGTAACGGGTTCAAATTGAAGGAGGGGAAGGTTAGATATTAGAAAAACGATTTTTCCTGTGAGGGTGGTGAGACACTGGCACAGGTTGCCCAGGGAGATAGTGAATGCCCCAACCCTGGCAGTGTTCAAAGCCAGGCTGGATGAGTCCTTGAGCATCCTGATCTGGTGGGAGGTGTCCCTGCCCATTGCAGGGGAGGTTGGGACTAGATGATCTGTAAGTTCCATTCCAGCCCCTAAAATTCTATGACTCTATGGTTCTATGATTGAGCTAAACGTTAGTTAAACACTAAGGTGTACTCAGATTTAAAATGTGATATTTGACTAAACAAGGCTTAATCCCTTCACTTAATCCTGAAAAGTGAAAAGTTTTCATTTGTTGATGTTCTCTGAATCTTTTGGTCTAAGCACTCCTTTAATTCATTCTGAAATGAGTTACATTTCTTCACTGTTTAACAGAATGGTCTGTAGAATTGTAGCTGATAACAGAGAATAGGTTTCTTTTTTGTCACCCACTAACAAAATTATTTCTATATTTGCTCAGTGAGAGACAAACAGTAGACCTATTTTATTGTGCTATGCAAAGTGCAAAAGTTCAGGAAAATGGGGGATTTGTGATGGAGGTGGGAATTGCTTTTTTATTATATCTGACCTTCAGAGCTTCGTCTTAGATGCTGAGATTATTTTTAGAATCTTCCTCTGTTTAGCACAGGATTAATAATGAAGAAGAAAAAATCTAATTAAAATAACTGAGTACAAATGGTAATCACAAATTTATTTTGCTTGTAATAAAAATATGAAAAATTGTCCTTAAGAAGCTTCTTAAAAGAGAATGTTTATATATTTTTTGTGCTAAGAAGTGTAGTGTCTTAATACCATCAAAGTTTTTGTAGCTTATCCATAGTGATATTTCCTGCCAATGGTAGGGAATTGATATAAATTTAGTCAGTGGTTTTCTGTACATAATTTGGCTTGATCTGGTTATTATGGGACAGAAACCCTCTCAAAAGGTTAAGAAATATCAAAATTTAAATAAATAAACAGTAAGAAACAGTTAAAAAATAATAGGCTTCAAAAATTGAATAATTTAAAAGGCATTGAAAGAGGTTCACCATTCAGAGAAGTTCAGGACGTAACTGTTAAAATACATCTATACATCTATAAAATACATATATCCACTTATGGTTCAAATATGTGGTACGTGTTTTATAGACTAACTTGCAGTGTTTTCAGATACCCTAAAGCAAAGTCTAATTGCACTTAGATGCACAAAGTTTTCTGTAAATCTAATTCTGACTCTGTAGCCAGCTGCAGGATAGAAAGGAATCATTTATCACTGTTGCAGATCAGAAGTTTTGTCTAGTAGGAATTAGACCCAAATCCCTTCTCTCAGATCCCATTTCTGCTATTAGCTGAACTTGTGCTGCCTGGCTGGCCTCTAATGGGTGAAAAAAAGTGGCTCAGATGTGTCTTCCAAGTTTTTAATACAGTGGCTTGTACTTTGACGGAGTGGTGGTTTTCTTCTCTGTTTAAGTAACCTTAAGGGGATCTTCCCAGCCTGGAACTCCAGAGTGAGATCCTGTACTCGGCTCTGGTGAGGCCACTCCTTGAATCCTGTGTGCAGTTCTGGGCCCCTCAGTTCAGGAAGGATATTGAGGTGCTGGAGCAGGTACAGAGAAGAGCAACGAGGCTGGTGAAGGGACTCGAGCACAAGTGCTATGAGGAGAGGCTGAGGGAGCTGGGGTTGTTTAGCCTGCAGAAGAGGAGGCTCAGGGGAGACCTTATCACCCTCTACAACTCCCTGAAAGGAGGTTGGAGTCAGGTGAGGGTTGGTCTCTTCTCCCAGGCAACCAGCAGTAGGACAAGAGGGCACAGACTCAAGCTCTGCCAGGGGAGGTTTAGGTTGGATATTAGGCAGAGATTTTTTACGGAGAGAGTGATCAGACATTGGAATGGGCTGCCCAAGGAGGTGGTGGATTCCCCATCCCTGGAGGTTTTCAAGATGAGACTGGATGGGGCACTTGGTGCCATGGTCTAGGAATGAAGGTAGGGTCGGACTTGATGATCTTGGAGGTCTTTTCCAGCCCAGTTGATTCTATGATTGAATGCTCCTGAGGCACAGTTCTGTCCCATGCAGTGTCTGTGGTAATGACACACTAACAAGGCTGTTGTAACGTTGAACCTGGACAATGTAAGAATAGTTTATGACATTTTAGTGCCATTCAGTCAGTGTCTGGTTCCCATTTGACTGATACCAGACCTGAAGCATAATTTGAACCTAATCTCTGTTCCTACCTGATCCTCTAAACTATCTCCAGTGTGCAAAAGTAATCAGTAACAAAGTTAACACTTCTTCTGATTCTCTAAAATTGCTTCAACATAAAATAAGCCTTTAAACTTCCTGTACTTTGATAATGAAACGTATATTTTATAGGGAGCTGAAGATTCAGTACTGGTGCTTTAAGGAAAGTATTTTGTTAACATAATTTACAGTTTCAGCTTCATTGAAAATGCTTGTCAAATAAAAAGTCTTTTCCTCTCTTGAATTATTCTCCTGACACACAAATGAATTGGAAGTGAAGTTTTGAAATTTCAGTAATGTATATTTCGCATGTAAACCCTGACTTCTGAAATCTGAAATCCTCGTAATTGTCTCCATGCATTCCATTTAACTTTTGAATTCTATTTATTGCTTCTATGCCCTGAGCCAGACTGACCTTTTGATTTGTCAGATTGCATTACAGGTGATGCCTGTGTGATAAAATGTTAAAAGTTAAATCGGTACCAGACATGCTAACCACAAAAACAAATTCTAAAGTGCTTTGACAAAATCCTAGCATGACTTGCTTATACCACATTGAGATATTATACAATTTTAGAAATAATCTTGTCTCAGATACATACTGGAAAATACACAGTCTGTGTAAGAAAAGGTTTTGTCTTTCATAAAAGCTTTGATTGTCAGATCATAGATATAATGTATAAATAATGGTAAATTCATTAAAGTTACCAGGAGTGCAAAAAACTGAATGCAAAATTCTCCGCAACAAGTGACAAAAGGATAGGGTAAAGCACAGAATTAGAAACCTGACGAAGAATTGTGAAGGCGAAAATTACTGTTATTAGCTTCATCAAGTTGCTTATCCCTTTTAAGATACATTTTTCCACGTTCAGGATGCACGTGTACAGAATTTTTTCAATATAAAAAGATCAGCTAAGGAAATTTAGAATTCAAAGTAATGTACAGATGTTGTGAAAAATGTAATACAAACTGAAAATGCTTACTGCAACTTGCACAGAAGATGGCTGGGTTTTATTTTTCTGGTTCAGTCTAAATGTTTCTCACTCCAGATCACCTTTTATTCCATTCTACACTAAAATTCACACAAATATTTTCCAGTCTCCTGTTAAGAAA